AATCAGTCTCTTTGAGATATGTATTAGATATTGATAAACAGATCTATATGACTTTTATGTCTACTACAAAAGAACTATGTGTAATCAATTAATAACTATTGAAAAGAGTTGAAAAGAGAGAAGCCACAAGTCTTTGATTGATGATTTTTTTCTAAAAAGAATTCACTTTTACAAAATCTTGTTGAATTATTGAACGTAAATATTAATTTAAATCATATAAATATAATAAATAGAATTGATTGTTTTTAATAATTACAGATAGAATAATATCAAGAAAAAAAGATTTCATTGAGTTTTATTTTGTTTAATTTATCTTTATGGAGAAAAATCTTCTTTATAAAACAAAAATATTCATTTCTATTAGTTAATCGAATTAAAAGATTTATCAAATATTATTTTTATATAATTCTGTTGATTAATTAATATATTTAAAAAATAACTTCATTCAATAAAATATGTTATTTATTCTCTTATGATTATATATCACAAAAATAAAATCTATTTATTTCACTTGATCGAATTCTTTTTAATTAAAGAAATTTATCTATTTAATTTGTTTCTCATACTTCAAGTTTAAGATCTGGAACTGAGATTCTTTGAGTATTGTGGTCTCTAAAATACACATGAAAAGTTTCAATTTCATCGATTAAATTCTAATATAGCTAGTTTTGTTGAAGTTATGTATGTAGGCGTAGATATAAGTGTGGGTGAGTGTGAATGAAGAAAATACTTTTCAATCACACCTACACCATTGATCTGCGTGCTATTACAAAACAAACAAAAAAAATACATACTTTGATGTATGATACTACACTGTGGTAAACATATTTCTTTCTTTATAGAAGAATGATTCACTTTTGTTGAATATTTTTTTCCTTTCGCCCTTCATTTTTACTATACAGTATGTGTGGCAAATGTAACATACATATATGTTGTATTCGCTCTTTTACCTTGATTTATATTTGAAACATTCTTTTATTCTTATATTGTTCAGACATTTTTTCATTCGTTTCATGTTTCTTTTCTAGCGCATTTACCTGTGTGGATGATTGTTTAAAAAATAAATTAGAAACTTTACTGATTTGTTAAATCAAACACATGTTAACACTCTCTTGTGGCATCACTCTAACAGATATTGTAACGTAGTATATTTGTCTGAATAGCAAAAAAACGATTTTATGAAGAATCTTAGAAAAGAATAGGCTAAGATTACTAATCAGATTTACTACAAGCTGAAATCGTTGAATTAAATAGTTAATTCCGAAAGAAAACTCAACTGAGGAAAAATATTTCAAATCGATAACATACGAAAATTGTTTATTTAGCTGATAAGATTTGATAGACATAAACACTAACAATCACATAAAAACTGTTTGAAAGATTTTTATTTATTTCATTACAACAACTCATTTCGAAAAATATATATGACCATTTTTTCTGAATAACTAATTTATTTGCTATAATAAATGACAAAATTTTATGTGTATTATTTGAATTTATTGTTTAACGAGTTTGAAACTCGTATACACCTAATGAACTTTAGTTGTTTTAAAAAAAAGTCAACAAAACTGATTATGCTCAATTGAAAGACTTTTCTATTCATCAGTGTTATTATTTTAGATAGAACAATGAAATAAGATAAGAATGCATGATTTTGAAATCGAATTAAGATTTTTCGGTATATTTTTCTATAAAGATATATATTTGTTGAAACATTGATTAGACTATCACCTAAGAATACTTTAACATAAAAATAAACGAACTTTTCATATATTTAAATAAGAAATTGTTTGTTTAGATTATGTTTGGCTTCTCAATTGATGTGCTATTCTTCTTGAACATGATCAAATGCACTGAATATTCTTCGAAAGCATTCATTCGACACTCATAAGTATAATTTCGATATTGATTGTTGCTATTTAGATTTCAACTAGAAAATAAACAATTTGAACTTTCGACATTCATTTTTATCGCACATATAAACAATGAAAATCGATAAAAATTAGCGAAAGACTTCTGGCTTCAATTATAGAAAAAATATGGAAAAAACCAATCGGTTTTACATCGATTTGCATTCAGCTATGAGTTGTATTTCTAGGCATTTATTTCTATGTATGAATTCTATTTATGAAATAAAATCTTTGATTGAAATTTAGAGTATATGAATGGGTGTGGGTGTGGATCTTCTCAAAATTCACACAAATCCACACTCACAACCACACCCACACATCGACGCCGCACTCCCACACCTCATCGAACAAATCTGTTGAATAGTACAATAGCTTATCAGAATCTGTTAGTGAGAGAAGTCCAGTTTAAGCATGAAATTTTGAGTAATTTATTTCATTACTGATAAAAAGGTATATAATTCTCGTTGACAATCTGTTCAATGCGATTGGTTGTCGTTGGTCCATTGCATAAATCTTTTGAACAGAAAAAGCGAACTATGCGTTGAAGAAGGGTTGTTGTTGACATTGGCACTTTTCCCGCATAAATATGAACAGTAGGTGGAACTTTCCGAACCACAAGAGGGCCAACCGAAAGCATTCGAATTCAGCTTTCCAGTGGTCAAGTTTACGACTCTTGTTCGTTCGCCATAACACGTTTCATTACATGTGGCGATCTTGTCACCAAATTGATAGCATTTTAGTGAATTTGAATCGGAAAACGTGGAGAATACGTCCATTAAAGCTCTTTGCAGATGTTGATATTCTCTCTTAGCTAGTTTTGGAATCATTGAGAGCAGAAATGCTTCTTCACACCGATCACTCAATGTGCATGAATAAAAGAGACGCGTTTTAATGGAAGTTCCATTCACGGTAGTATCTTCACTCACGTAATCGTATTTATCGTTTCTGTTAGTGATCGCCCGTCGTCGAACATTATCGACTAAAAGTTCATGGCCGAAGTTGACTGTGATAGCTCGAGTGACATAGTCAAGCTTGAGTTCCACTTGATAGACACTGCCTTGTCGAGTTTTGTTACAATTCATGGGAAGAATAAACGGCTTATCAATCGATTGAGTAAAATGACAATCAGTATGACAAATAACACTTGAAAACCCATTAACTACTACACCAAACTTGATCAAATAGAAAAATCCGATGATTAGAGCCAACATTATTTTAGAATAATCATCGAATCTTTCCATCCACTTCTATTTAACGAATGCCTATGATACTGCTGAGAACAAGAGCACATATTCGAAGTAACTCTTATTGGGAAACTAGAGCCTCGTGTCAGTCCTGTATATCAAAGTTGTGGTAAAGTATGTGTTAAAAAGCTGCTTTTATGAATCGTAACAGTTAGTTGTCTATTAACTTGGGAGTGTGGACGTGAGTGTAGCTGTGTGTGCGTGTAGGTGTGATTGCCGGTGGGATTTAGCTGTGTCTGTGAGGTGTGGGTGTGGGTGTCTCTCTATCTTCTCTTAGCCATTAACATTCACATCCACACCCACACCCACACCTACACCCACCCCTTCAAATAATATTCTGTTACATGCTGGAATCGGAGTATCTTCTCAGGTATCACTCTGAAAACTACTTAGTACACAATTACCTTGAACATCATACATTGACTAAGACTGTATTTCGATATGGATCTTATTACATTGCAGTGGCTTGAAATAACTTGAATAAAATTTGATTACCAGAGAATGACTTTTGCTTTTCTAATTGTAAGATTTTCTACGAATGTAATCAGTATCAATAGAAAACAATCGCTCACAGAAAATTCGGTAGTTGAATTCATTGTTTTTAATGATTTTGATAATAAAAGATCTTCATTTATGAATAATGATAACGTTAATAATCATATTCATAACTCAATCTATGAAATCAAAAGTACTAAATTACTACACTTTTTTCCTAACCAAAGAGCACCAATAGAATTATATAGCAGAATAGAAGGGAAAACGTTTCTCTTTAATAAATCTCATCAGTATTTTATTCAACTTTCAATTTTTTAATAGAGCACAAGCTCTTCATAGGAAACTTTTTAATTGACAGTAAAGTGTTCCTTTTTTTGTAAATTGATCTATTTTAATATTAGATCGCTAGCAATGTTGGTCGATTTAATATACATATATATCAAACTGTCGAATTAGTTGCTCAATCAACTGGAATTTGTAATATGTCGTCACCCTGTGATGGAACTAGAGATGTAACATCAAAAGACTTGTTTCCATAGAGGCATTAACTGATAATACAATAATCAATATAACTTTGATTTTGTCTAATAATCATTTTGTTTTAACTGAAATATCAATTTTTAATTCAGAAGTACCTCATAAAATTCAACGTAAATGAGTTTTCTTTTTTTTCAATACAATATCTAAGTTATTTGAATAAACTGCTAATAAATCGATTAATAATCTGATATTGTCCTAAAGGAGTCTAGTTTTCAATATGATTGAGTCGAAATGTATCCAGTGATGTGTCACAGTTGGACTTAATCGAACAAAAGTATCATGGTGAAAATAAACCAAAAGAAGTTCAGAAATGGAGAATAAATATTGGCGCGTGTAAACGAATAAAAAGTTTCGATGTTTCAGGGTGTAGATTGTGGGTGGGGTGTGCGTGTGGGTGAGGATGAGTCAAGCAAACCACGACTCGTTTCGACCTTGCTTAAGGGTCTCATCAGATAGATTTACGTGTGACAGAATATCAGAAAGAAATGTTCGTAACAGTCTATAGAAGTGTATTTCTGGCATAATTTTTAAGACGCAAAGATTCTGATGCAAACATCTATCTAAAATGTTTTTTTAGGAAGTTGTCAGATCAATATAGATTACGAAAGGACCAAAGTTAGAGCAAGAAGTCTTGTTTGCAATCCTTACACGTCAGAATAGCATGAGCTCTCTTTTACCATAGAAGGTCAAAGTTTTGCAAAAATGTGAGTGAAGGTGAATACCATTGTGCAGATAGGAAAGGTTCATTAGATTGACATTGTTCTGTGTCGTGCCTGCGTTTTATGAAAATGTCCTCTTCTTAATTTTTTTCTTGGAAAAAAGATTCATTGTACGGAAATGACTATGGGAAGATCCGGTGATCAGAATTCAGATGTTCACGACTTATTTCCAAATGTAATGTATTCACGCTGAATTGCTACTTTTTCTGTTGTTTTCTTCATGAATAATGTGTTTCAATGTAATCTCGACAATGATAAACAAAATACTTAGGTCTGACCAAAAGTTCCCAGATTATTAAAAAAAAATATAAAGACAAAGAGAAAGTTCGAGTTTTATTTTATTAAATGTTCAAAATAGTCACCATGATTATTTATACAAAGTTCCATTATTTCTAATAGTTTGTCAAAAGTTTTTTTAAATTCTTCTTTCGGAATTTTTTTCATCACCTTGGATACCGTACGAGCCAATGATTTTTCATCTGGTTGATCAGTTAAATTACGTTTGATGTAATCATTTAGCCAATAATCACATGGTGCAAGGTCAGGTGAATATGGTGGATGCGACATTATAATAATACCTTCTTCTGTTAAATAATTAATAACATCGGAATGAATATGGGGTCGAGCATTGTCTTGGAGCAATTTTATACCTTTTGTACCTGCTGACTTTCTTTGTTTCCATATTGCCTTCACGACAGGCTTGAGGCAATTTTCAATATAATAGTTGTGATCTATAGTCTTGCCTTCGTCAACAGCATGTATAGGAACAGGACCATTTGATTTAAAGAAAATAGAAAATAAATTTTTTGGTTCAAATTTACCTCGACGAACAATAGTGGTTGGTGTTTCATCTTCGCCAACCCAGCTTGCATTTGTTGACTTGCGATGAAACTGCCTGTGGTAAATCCACGTCTCATCACCTATTATAACATCACATAATCGCCAAGAACCATCACGGAATTTCGCCAAATTTTCACGACAAAGTTTAACACGTTCTTGCTTTTGTTCATCAGTCAGTTGATGGGGTACCCAACGTGATGTAATTTTTTTCATCTTAAGACAATCGTGGATTAATTCGTTCTATTGTACCATAAGAGAGAAATGTCTCAGCTATAATATCATCATAAGTTGAATGTGGATCATTGTTGATAACCTCTCGTACTAGTTCAATATTTTCATCTGTCAGCTCGGATACTGGACGACCAGATCGAGGATCATCATTGACATCTTCTCTTCCTTCACAGAAACGTTTTGCCCATTCTGCAACTGTTGGATATGATGGAGCCTTGGATCCCAAAGCTGTTGCAAGTTCTTCGTGAATCGTCTTCGGATTTATCCCCAAAATATTTCGAATTTTTATATAACAAGTAACGCTCGTCTACACACTCGCTCAGCTCTTTCTTGTAGAAGGATTGCTTTTAGGAGTTAGATTTTTAATACGTTATTGCGTATATAAGTTTATTTCCCACGTCAATTAGATACTCTTACATAAAAAGCAACAGTATTCTTGCTAGACTCTTCTCTACGAGAAAGAGAACTAATAACTAATTAATTGAAACCGATCATACATTTAGACTCTTCATCTCTGGTTACCTATGGTGAATTTTTATTTAAAATAATAATGATTAATAATTAGTCATTAACTAATTAAAACTGATCTCAGACTTGGATTCTTTACCTTCAATAACCGTAGTGAAGTTTTACGAAAAATAATAATTAATATTTAATGAATAATTATTTAGTAATAAGTTAGTTAAAACTGACGTCGGATTTAGATTCCTCCCCTTTGATAACCTACGGTTAAGTTTTATGAAAAACATCAATAATTAATGATTAATTAATAATTAGTTAAAAATTAATTAAAACTAACCTCAGATTCGAACTCTCCATCCTCGAAAACTCTTTGGTCAAGTTTTATGAAAAACATTAACAATTAATAATTAATTAATGATTATTTAATAATTAATTAAAAATAACCTCATATTCGAACTTCCCACGCTCGAAAACCTTTCGGTGAAGTTTTATGGAAAATAATCCCTTTTATGTTCACCTCATTTTTGGACCAATCACTGAAGTGCGGACACACAAGCAAGCACGCAAGCAAACAATTTATTCTTGCAAGACTCTTCTCTACGAGAAAGAGAATATCGATTGTATTCATTATCCATTTTTGAAAATTTTTTTTAGTTCGAATTAAAGTTTATCGAAAAAAATACTATAACTAAGTCCAAAAGAGATTTACTATATATACTATTATAGATAAGACATTCCACTATTTATCCATGCACAACACTCTTCGATATTTAATTGGTTTATAAAATTGCCAATAGCAATCTAGGAACTTTTGGTCAGGCCTAAGTAATTGACGTTTTGCTGTTCCTGTACTTGAAAATATTAACATATATACTTTTTTTTTTATCGTACGTCTTTTTTCTCACTTTTTCTTGTAAAGGAACCTGTCAGATTAAGAAATACTACGTCTATTCATCTCTCATTTGTTTACCCAGTATTAATTTATTTTTCTCATCAAACAAAATGTACATTATTTTTGTTTTCTAGATTTAAAAAATTCATTTCAGTAGACTTTATACATTTTGGTACTAAAAATAAAGCGTACACATACATTTTGCTCGTATAACCAGAGTGTATATGTACGTTTTGTTTTCGATTCCCATTGAAAACATTGAATAGGTGGAGTGGGGGTATCGCTATTCTGAAGTATCGATTTCGGTATATGCAAATAAATTTCAGTCGACTTCTGGTAATGATGATTACATCAATGTGTTTAGTGTTTCCACAGTACTTCATGCTGGTTGTTTTTCTTTGGAGCACATATACACCAATACGATATCTTCTAAAAGAACTGACGTTCTATTCACATCGTTCACAAACAAATGCGCACAGCACATGTCGACGGCGAAGCATTATTTTGTGAGACAGAAACAAGAAAAGAAAAAATCGTAAACTTCATTTCTCTTGCTCGCTTCAGAAAAAATATGACGCATGTGCCCTTAATTTCTTGCTACATTCACAAAGAAGTGCCGCAAAAGGTAAAGAAAAGGTTACATATAACCATTGTTTTGGAACATAAGTTCTGAGAGTTTTTTTGGTTTTCTCAGGCAAATTGGAGACTTCATATCTCATAAATAGAAAGGGATAGATTTCTGAATTTCTTAGTATAGGTAGATCTCTATCATCTCCATCTATACTAAAAAGTTCAGACCTATATCCCTTTGTTTTCATGAGATATGAAGTCTTTAATTTGTCATAAAAAAATCCAAAAAAATCTCAGAACTTATGTTTCAACCCAATATCTGATTTAATTAACAATCGACTATTAACCGAATTGATCATTTTAATCTAAAACATGGTACATTGATGCTCCCTATGAAATTGACTATTGCCCGCAGTGTTTTTTATTCGCTTCAAACAGACTCGGATAAACCTAGTAATTTTTTTTAGACGAATACACGTTGGAGGACTAACAACTACTAATCGGATGCATCACATACTTTACTGTGAACTTTTTCTAACTTTGTAGCAAATTCAAGCTTTATTAAGACTTGTTGGTATGAGATGCTCCCAGATGAGATTCTGCTTGAGAAACAAATAACAATTAAAATACGTAAACAAACTTAGAATAGAAATTTCAAATCATATCATACGAGTCAGCTTACAAAAGGTTGAGAAATGAGATAAATTATTTTTGTTTTTATTCATTATTTTCACCTGATGTTTCTTCTTTTTTTTTGTTTGTTTTCAAGATAACCACATCAGGCACAGTTATCACCGGTAGGCTTTATAAGATGTGTTGATAAAATACTGCAAATTATATTTAGTGAAGAACAATTAACGTACATATGTCTGCAAGAATGGCTACAAATAACAAATGTTCAATGTGTGAAAAGACACCAGGAACCTGCCTTTGTGCGGGATGCAACGCACATTTTTGTAGAAAACATTTCAATGATCATCATGCAAAGCTACTCAACGAATTGGACGAATATATAGAACAACGCAATACTCTTCACGATCAAATCGATAAAATAGATCAGCGTGGTGAATTGTGTAACACTATACTATTACAAATTGATGAATGGCAAAAAACCACTATTGAAAAAGTAACACAAAGAGCAGAAAGAATTCGTGAACAAATTGTTAACCTGTTGAGTCCAAACAAAGTGGAAATTACATCTAGATTAAAAAAGTTGTCAGACAAACTTATTCATCTAAAAGAAACAGAAGATTTTCTCGAAATTGACTTGACACAAGTAGAAGAAATGATCAATGCACTTAAACAAGATTGCAAACGATTATCTGAATTACCTTTAGTAGAACTGCATGTGGAACAAAATGATCAAACCGTATGGGATCGTCTCATTTACGTCGAGGAAAAGATTGCTACTAGTGAAAATAAACATGACGAACAACTAGCAGCAGGTGAGGCCATTTCTTAATTTATTGGTAAACGTACCTTCCGCATTCTATGTGTAACTACTCAGAGATAAAAAAATTTCTAGTTTTTTTCCATTGTAGAAATCCATCACTGATATGGGAAATAGAGTCCTAGACTATCGGCGAAGAAATAATTAATGAGACATTTCACTTACATATTTACATTAAAGAATGAGATTTTCAATACTATTCCGATGGAACCAAAACGTGAAACACAAAAGAGTTGGTTTAATTGTAGTGCGAGACCTCCTCTATACTTATAACGACTAACGGCAAGAACAAACGAGTAACAAATCAAAATATTAGTTGCACTGAAAAGAGAGGAAATGTTTATTAATTCTTCTGTCTCTATACTTTACCACATATTAACAATCGTGTTTCACAATAATTAACTTCAATTTTTTATAGATCTCTAAGATAAAAGTGTGACATACAGATTAACAGTTACAGGGATACATTTCAAAGTTCTAATTGACAAATAGCCAGTTTTGAATACAATTGAATGAGATAGCGGCCTTCTTGTTACTGTAGTAGAATATAATACGGAACATCTGAGATTACTATAAGTTGAAAGGAGAAGCAATGTGCTACCATACTGCCAGAATACAAGAAGTACTGTGAAAGTGCATGGAGTCCCCGAGTACAATGGAAGTATAGTGTTCTAACTAAGAGAAATTTACATAGACCTAAATCCAGAAGGACAATAACATACTCTCATATTCTCATTGTACTCTAGGATATACAGGTATAAATCGTTTTTTCCTTGGCAAAGCACTACCATAGGGTGAGTTATTTTAATTATTCTAAGCAGTTTATTCGACTATACTCTTCTGTATCTTTCTGAAATCGCAAAGACAAAAGAACGAAAAAAAACCGTACGTTACAATTGAGACTGCTCGATAGTACATCAGTAAGATAGACAAAATATTAACTATGAATATTTTTTCGTACCTAAATCAGGAAACTGTTTTTGTTAAATAATATATTAGAGAAACAGCAATAAAAAACAAAAAAAAAACGTAGTGATTTGATATAAAAATAAACGAGATTGATCTCTTGAAATATTTCCATCGATTCTCGTTGATCATGATCAAAGGATCAAGCTCAATGATTGTTTGTTGATTTGTATTTATTCTTTTAATTGATATTTTACCGAAAATTAATCGTCATACTGTTTTAGACCATTCGTCAAAATTAATTGCTCAAGAGGAAGAATGTCGGTTTTGCGGGAAAAGAGCTACTTTAAAATGTGCAAAATGCCGCGTTGCAACCTACTGTAACGTAAAATGTCAAAAACAAGACTGGAAAAACCATAAACTCAACTGCAGTTCAACTCAAGTGATGACTTCCGCTGACTATTTAGTAAAAGCTGTCATGAAAGATGAGTACCCCGAAAATCTGGATACTCTTCATGACTTCGGTTTCTCCAGATGTCTTGTACAAGAAGAAAGAACATTTCTTTTTGGTCTCTATGTGGGACTCATCAAAATACTTGGAGTGAGTAGTAAACAATTGCTTCAGTGGAAACAGGCTAACGAGCTGGCTCTCAACATTCGAAAAACATACGAAGCTGTTGGAGAGCGAGCAACTTTTAGTGGTTATTACGTTTGGTTCTTGAAAAATCAACACTTAGTAGACTCTCGAACACCAAGAGCAGATTTTCCACAACTTATTCAAGGATATCTTTCTCCAGAAGATAAGAACAAGGATCTAGATAAACTTGAACCCGAATCAAAGCGCCGTTCAATAGGTCTTTACCTTGTGTTATTAATGGACAATATTCCACGTATTGAAATGGATGTATGGGTTGATTTCGGATTCTGTACATGCAAAAATCAAGCAATGGAAGCTAAGTTGGGACGAGTATATCGTGCACTTATTGATCAATGCACTCTCTATGAATTCTACAAGAATTATGAGGGGAAATCTTTGGAAGTTCTTATTCGATCAAAAAATATCGCTAATGCTGATTATCTGAAATCAAGTGGTGTTGTTTTTGGAAATCCTTCTAAGAGCGTGTACTACTTGAAGCAGTACGTGCTTGCAGAAGGTGTACCTCTAGAACTCTCTGTTGGCATTGATTATGGCTTCAATTTGTGCAAGAACAAAAACCAAACACAAAAATTAAGAAACATTTACAAACAATTATTTGAACATCCAAAATTTGACTTTCTCGATTTACATCAAGCTTGTATATCGGGAATGCTTTACAAATATGCTAGTCAGTTTGTTTCTGCTGATGCCAACTTGATGTGCAATCCTTATCCTTTACCAGACATCTAAATTTGTTGCTCCATACTGCTTGTCCAACATTTTCATATTATTCAAACATTTACTCAAAACTATATTAATCTTCAAATATAGGGTGTGGGTGTGAGTGGTTGTGGGGTGTGGGTGGGTGGATGTGGGTGTGGGTGTGGATTGAAGTGTTTTCTGACTTAAATAAATTCCTAACTATACTTGCACTCACCTACACCCACTCGCACACCCACATCCACATTAGCTGCTGCTCATCTTGGTGTACAAAAAATTCTTGAACGATATACCTGAAACCTAAAACTTTCTCTTTTTCATACAGCAAGTGATAATGATTTGAATGGACATGGAAAATATGTACGAAATGCTGTTGGAGAATATCTTGATCATATTTACAAATAAAGCGGTGTTAATATCGAACGTATGTATAAGTGTCAGTGTGAATGTGGATGTTGACGTCGTTTTGCACGAAGATGTGTATGTTCGTGTGATTCTTCTTGTCATCCATTACAGTGATACCCATACAACAATACGCACACTAACAAGCACGCGTATACCAAGAACTGAATCGAAAAAACTTAAAATTTTCAAATTTATACTCTTATGTGCGGTGGATGTGAGTCTTCTCTAAAATCATACTCATATTCAAGATCATGTGATGAAGTTAAACAAGGAAATATTACAACCATAGGATAGATAAAAACAACGAATAAGAAAATACATGTAAGCTAAGCAAATAAATCAATAAAGAAAACTTGCAATAGTTGCCTTCCTGAAAGCTTAACATATTATTGGATAAATGGACATTTCAAAGAAATTTATTTCTTATTTAATAATCGGTTTAAAAAAAAAGATAGCTGATTTCTATCTAAAGCTTTTTGAACAACTTTCTATCCACCTTGGTATTAATTCATTATTATTTCAATCGATATATAGTTTTTTTTCTTATTATATTACCTTCACTAAGAATATTTACTAGCATACTCTATTTAATAGTTTTTCATTCCATATGCAAGGTCAAAATAACGCTTACAAGGTAATAGTTGACAATCTAAAATCCAGATTTATTATTTTGACCATTTTTTTTTAATAATTCTATGACAATTGATGCGTGTTGTCTATGAATTTATTGATAATAAGCAGACACATAAAGAGTTTTTTTTCCTACTCTTTGATACATTCGTTTAAAAAAAAAATCAAAACAAACCCTACATCGTTGTGATCATCAATGAGTTTCTTTGAAATTTTATCATCTTTAATTATTTTGTTGTGTAGTTTATTTGGTATTGGTTGTGCATTTATATTCATTATTATACTAATTATTTATCGTCAATGTCGTACAATAACTACTTTACTTATACTTAATTCTATCATAGCTGGTTTTATTGTCAATATAATGTATGTTTATCAAGTGATATCTCAATTAACTAGTGATGGAAATGATAAACTATGTAAATTGCGTGGTTTTCTTTTACAAAGTGGATGTGGTCTTCTCTATCATACATTATGTGTTCAAGCACTTTATCGTTTTTTTGCTACTATACCTAAACGACAACAATATCTTCAATCGAAATATACAATTACATTTATTGTATTAGTACAATGGTTTATTTCAATAACTTTTAATCTTCCGATTCTTATTGATGGTCGAATAAAGTTTGAAGTAAACTATCGTATTTGTCAGGTACATCGATATTGATATATTTATTTTTTTATTTCTGAAAAATAAATTAATTTGTTTAGGTATCAATGCAGGATCTCTATGGTTTTCTTTATCTTTCAATATGGATTTATTTTTTTCCATTAATAATTATTATAGGAATTTACACTCGACTTTTAATATATATTAAACAAAATCCATATCGTTTGATTATTCATCAAAATATATTTAAACGACAAAGACAAAAATATGAATTTCATATTTTTCGTCATATTATTATTCTTATCATAATTCTTATTATTATGCAATTTCCTAATCTTCTTGTTTTTTTTTATTATTCAATTAACTGATATAATAATATCTAATTATATACAACGAATATGTTTCATGTCGATTTCATTTGGTCAAAATATAACAATGTTCATATGCTTGATTGATAATCATCAAATTCGAAAATGTTTCAAAAAAGTAATTAGAAAAGTAAAACAATGCTGGAGATAATAATAACATATATATATTAATTTCATATTTAAATCTTTTTCTTTTATATAACATGAATATATGAAAATATACTAGAACTCTTATATAATTAGAAATATTAAACAAAAAAAAATAGTTTAATTTAGTTGAAACTATAATTTTGTATTATGTTTATTATATTCACAAAGAAAATTGTTATATATGATTATCGAACAAGAAAAAAAAGAATCAGAACAGAAAGTATAATATATTTTCTATTGAAATTTGGCATTAATACTGATTATTTTTGTAAAATACTATCAAATAGAAAAATTTTGTTGTTTTATATTTTCTCGAACATATCGTACTTTATTATTATTATTACTTTTTTGTTATTTGTATGAACTGCTGATGACAGAATTAGTATAAGATTCTGCATAGCAACGATTTAAATCTGTAAAAAAAGGAACATTTATTCTTAGAAGAACAGACACATAATTGGTACTACAAAAGCCATTGACTTTACGAGGGTTAAGTTGATTTGCAGACGAACGTCATCACATCTTATAAATACATTACCAGACATCTGTTCAATTATGTATATCACAATCATAGAAAAAAACAATGTGTCATATGTAAAAAAAAACTTGTTTTATAGTTGGTGCTTCTATCAATTAAAAAATTATAAAAGGTGTTCCAGAAGTTCTGAAACGATTTTAAAATTTATCGTTCTCGCATTCAACAAATGCAAACTCTTTGAAACTTTGACATATTATTGCACATATGTAGTGCCACATAACTACAAAGTTTGAGATCTATAGGTTCTACTGTAGAGGAGAACCTGTAACAACACTATGATGTACTATTTTAAAAATTTTCCTGTATCCCGAGTCTACCAAAATATCTATATTTCGGCTTAGGTAGATGATAAAATCTTGAATTTTTTTTTAAAAGCTGCGCCGTGAAAAGCTCTACAAAAATTGTAATAACAAATCCCTATTGACTTGTGTTAATGGTTTCTGCCATACACAAAATGAAAAATCTACATCATGGTACTACTTCTCACCATATTGTGCGTAATACAAAATGTTTGGAAGAACATTTTGTTTTGCATGTATCTCAGCTTGAGAAAATGATAAAATCTTGATTTCTTTTTCAAAAGATGCACCGTCGAAAGCTCTACAAAAACTATATAAACAAATTCCTATTGGAAAGCAAAAAGGTCTTCCAAACCTTTTTTTATTACGCATAGTATGGTGAGAAGTAGTACTACCATACAGGTTTTTCATTTTGAGTATGGCAGAAACCATTAACACAAAGTCAATAGGGATTTGTTATTGCACTATCTGTAGAGCTTTTCACGGCGCATCTTTTAAAGAAAAATTCAAGATTTTATCATTTACCTAAGTCAAGATATAGACGTAATAAAAAAATGTTGCATACCTCGAAGATGACCAGGAAAATTTAAAAAATAGTACATGTCAGTATTGTTACAGTTTCTCATCCATAGTAGAACCTATAGACCTCAAACTTTATAGTTATGTAATACTATATATGTACAACAATCTACCAAAGTTTGAACAAATTTGCTTTTGTAGAATGCGAGAACGATAAATTTTAAAATCGTTTCAGAATTTCCAGAACACCCTTTATGATAAAAATCGAATTGCTTAAGTGATCAGTTACTAAGTAACGGAAAATTCGTCATCTTGATTTTTCTCTTTATAGATATTCATTATTTTCTTGAAGAATCTTTCTAGCTTTTTCTTTTTTGAACTACTTCTTTTGATGAATTGAGCTATATGAAAATGACACCTTTCAAAAAAAAGATATTTAGAAATTTGTTTAATACTATCTTCATTGACTGCTTATGTCATTAAATTCAATTGACATAGTTACATGAGCGATGGAACAGATTTCCATCTTTTTCATCTAAACCAGCCGAGAGAATCAATTGAAAAACACTATAGATTTTCTTGTTAGATTTAAGTTCTGTTTTAATAATACAAGAGCCATTCACATATCTTGACAAACATCGGACAGTTTGACATAATTTTTATTAGAAAAAAATATCTTTTCATGTTAAATTCCATTTATACAAAACAGACTTTGACATACATATATATAGAGAGAGACAGAGAGAGGGAGACATTTTCACTGTATAAAATTTTCTATTCAATTATAATCACTCGTTCTTCAATAAAATTTCTTCCATTATCATAATCATCATTTAATCTTAAATCTTGTCGAGTAATTTTTGTTGTTTGTGATTGTTGTATTAATTCTGTTAAAGTTCTTTCTGTACATTTAGCTATAAAACGTATTAATGGTCGAATATCACCATCATTAGCTTGTTTTAAATGTGAATAATAAATAAAACGTTCAGATTTTTTTATAATTACTGGTGGATAACCAAATTTCATTAATATTAAATTCATTAATAAACGTCCTGTACGACCATTACCATCAATAAATGGATGAATATAAACAAATTTATAATGTGCTATAGTAGCTAATTCAATAGCATGAAGATCACGTGTATCATCTAATGAATTAAGCCATTTAAGAAAATCATCAAGATATTCAGGTAAATCATTATATATTGGTGGAATAAATGAACCAACATAAACTTGTTGTTTACGTAATTGACCTGCTTCAATAGGATTAACAAAACCTAAAACACGTCGATGAATTTCAAGTATATCTTCAAGTGTTATTAAACCAAGACGATTAACTAATGTACAATTAACATATTGTAAAGCTAAATCAAGACCAAGAACTTCTTGTTGTTCAATAAGTGATTTACCACCAATAGCCAAATGTGTTTCAATAATATATTGTGTTTCACGAAGATTTAATGTATTACCTTCAATACCATTTGAATGATATATATGTAAATAATAAGCATTACGTTTAGCACGTCTTAAATATGGATTTGTATCTGGTATTCGATAAAATTCTTTAAGTATATTATCAATAAAATTAAAATATTTTTGATCAATTTCTTCAACTAATGGTAATGTACGTTTTTTTAATTCTAATGCTCGTAGATTAGTTGGTTGTTTAACAAGTGCACGTGTATAATAATGTTCAGCATTTATTAAATCATTATGATGATATTCAAGAAATTGTCCATATTCAACAAGTATTTCAGAATTTGATGGATCAAGATATAATGCATGTTCAAATACTTTTCGTGCTTTTTTAAATTTATTTGATGTTATTAAATTAAGTGCTGAATGAAGAGCTATTACAGCTTCATGACGAAGATCTATAATTAAAAAAATAAAATTTATTCAATAGTAAATGATTGAGTTAAGAGTATGTACCTCATGTAGTACCTATAATAAGCTATGAATACTCAAAAAAAAAGAGGTTGAGCCAACAGCTTATTGATGTCGAGATCAATGGCGTAGCCAGGAGTAGGGCAATTGCCCATAGATATTTTTGAAATCATAACGATTGTCCTTAGCTGTCCGTAACTCAAAATAGTTCGGCTGATGAATTGCCCATGACTCAAAAATTCCTGGCTACGTCACTGGTCGAGATACTGCATTTTTAAAATACTTCTTTTACAGAATACCATGATGCCTCTCAAACATATTAGGAAAACTAATTTTCGAATATCGACTTGAAACTTTGCATATAGATAGACCTATGTGAAAATTTTTAAGGGCAAAAATCAAACTTCCTAGTGTTCTTGAGAGATACTACAGTATTCTGTCAAAAAAAAGTACTTTAAAAATGCAGTAGCTCAACAACAAGAATCTACAAGTGATTAGGCAGTTGAAAACATTCTCTCACTAGTTTCATAAAACTTTCAAATGAAGAAACAAATGAATAATGTCGAATATACTTTAAGGATACCTTTCCTCGCCCAAAATTTTTGTTTTTTTGTGGCCATTGTTTAGTTTCAAGTAGTGTCTATCTACTGACTATATTTTGAAAATCAACAATTGCTTTTAAAGATTAAAAAATTCGAGGAGAAATTAAATCTACATAGTGAAAATTTTATATTTTTTTTTTCTCAAAATCAAATTTTTAGTAGGAAAAGTACTGTTTCGCCTCCTGTTTCTCCGGCATGGTAAGAGAGATCGAGCTGAAACTTTTTTTTTTACATATTCTACTCACCATTTGGGGTGAGTATTATTTTTTTTCTTTTCAAGAATTATTGCTCTGGTGATTTTTGGTAGCTTTCACAAAAATTGCTAGAGGAAGCGTTTTTTAGACTAGGCGCAGTATTTTGACTTTTTTATTAAAACAACAAAAGATTAAAAAAATGCATCGTAAACAGTGTTCACTACCCGTACAAAAAATTTTCAGCTCAATCAAACATACCGTCTTGGAGAAACGGAGGCGAAAACTAGAGCCATTTTTCGATATGATGACCCTATTATCTCATAGAAGACAGCATCAAGGAATTTTGAGTTTATGACAACTTTTGCTGTACTCATCAAGATCTATCTGTGCTGAAAATTTCAAATTTTTCTTATGAATCGTTCTCAAGAAACCCCAAAAAGGGGGGGGGGGGGCTTAATTCAAAGAACATACTTTACTTCTGTAAGGCTTCGAAAAAATTGTATTTCCAAAAACTAATCAATTTTTCATCATTTTACATGTGTAGTTTTATAAAATCTCAGAAATTAATATGTTATTGTTATAATTTTGCGCCGAACGGCTCATTAAAATGAACAATTGTGGATTAATCATTCGACCGCTATCTTTATATAAACTATTTTGATTTCCTGATGACTACAAAAATTCTATTAAATAAATATTACCATTAGAAATATTATTTTGTTGTGAATGATTTTTTGTATATATTTGTATTTTTTCTAATAAATCTTGTTCTTGATATTGATTTTGTAAATCACGATAATTTGTTGGAGAA